TCTGGGAATAACCGAAGAGCCCCATCATCAAGTGCCTTATTCTCTCATACTCTTTTTCCGGTGTGTTGAGCTCTCGCAGTCTGCGGAAAAGCTTGGCGAGATACTGAGATTGTGTTTGCAGGAGAAAGAAGAGCACTTGATAGTGCTCCAACTTTTTCCTGGATGTCTTATTCAAGGCTTTGAGGTCAAATGGGTCTTTTGACGAGATGTCTGCATTGGACAAGAGGCTGCCAACATGGCCTCCAAAATGCTTCTGATGTTTGACGACTTCGTCCAGCGTAATCTTGTTCTTTACCAACAGAGCAATCTTGATGTCCAGTTGACTGATATATTGTTCGGCCAGCTCATTTTGCCGGACCTGTTGCACGACCAATTTTCTGAGTCGCTCGAATTCGATCTCCTCATCAAAATCGAATTCGCTGTCGTTCAAGAGATGCACGAATCCTTTGACTGTATTGACTGGGGGGTTTTTGCCGGTTGTGAGGCTCTTGTATGCCTGACCCTGGATTCTGCCTCGCACAATGCTCTGCGCCTTGATGACCCTTTCCATGTTGGCCCGATAATATTGACGCTTTTCTTCGAACTTCGATCTGATGATATGTCCGCGCATGCGAGATTGGAGGTCGGTGATCAGTTCCTCTTCGGCCGCTAGATCAGCCAAATCCTGGCCGACGTCGACCCGAACGATCATCGCTCGTATATGCGCCTGCAGCTGGCTAACCTCGTCCTCACAATTTTCCAGCTCATCAAGAACAGCTCCAACTCTGATTCTCAGAATTGCAGCTCTTGAGAGAGCTTGAAGATCCACAATCATGTGTTCCTGTGCTCGGAGGGCTTCTGCGTCGGCTTCCAGGCGAATTCTTAGGATAGAAGCTCGGGCCGCGGACTGTAGCTGCAGAACTGACCCTTCCTCTTGCACCAACGCCGCTTTCTGAGCGCCCAGAGCGTCCCGTACACCTTTTGCTCGAAGAATACTCTGGAGTCCAATGATTGAGAGAGTGTGCTCCCCTAACGCTTGTCGAAGAGAGTTCAGGTGTCCCCTCACAGCTTCACCACGGACAAAAGCCTGCAGAGTTATGCATTCATTCTCTGTCTTTGCAAGTGCGTCGGTGAGTTGGGAATAGCGGTCTCTGGCCGCCAGAGCTCTAGCTCCGGCTTGAATTGATATCACGGACGGGATCTCTTCAGCGAGAGAACTCTTCAGCTGAATTATGGCTTTACGTGTCAACATTCCTCGAATCGCAGCTTGCAACTGTTGCACATTATCTCCGGTGTTCTTGATGTCATCTTGTTGAGCGCTCAATTGCCGCCGGAAATGAGCACCGCGAATGAGCGATTGGAGTTGCGTAATTCCGTCTTCAGCGCATTGCGTCTCGTCGTGTTGCTTTGATATCAATATCCGACAAAGAGCGCCTCGCACAGCAGCTTGCAATGCGATGACTCGAGGCTCTGTGGCTCGCGTGTCTTCGTACACGGCGCAAACTTTTTTCCGTTGCAGGGCGCCTCGAATAGCCGCTTGAACCTGCTTGATGCCTGACTCTTCTTTCCGCGTCCGACTCCGGAGGTACTGGACTTGAGTTCTTGCCTTTGCGCCTCTGATGAGAGTCTGGAGCCGCAGAACATCAAGCTCCTGAGCTTGGCACCATTCCCTATCACCTTGCTGGCGGGATCGTACAATGAATCCTCTGCAGGCCGCCTGCAAATTTACTGCAAAAGACCGCATGCTTAGCCGATATTGAATGACCTGACGGGCCCAGTCGCCACGGAGTCTGGACTGCAGATCGACGAGGAAAGGTTCAAAATCCCACAGTTCATTCATGACATTGCCAAGCTTCAACCGCAACATCGCGCCCTTGATCTGAGCCTGAAATTCGGTAATTGACATTTCATTCTCGTGGAGTTCGCGCTCGATTCGCTCTTCTTCGGTTTCAGGTTCTGGCTCTGGTTCTGGCTCGGGCTCTGCACCAAAGTTCGCAGCCATGCCAGAGAAGCTGGGCATGCTTACTCCTGACTTGTCGAGCCCCTTTTGCGTTTGTTCGAGCTCATGGTGCTCGAACTCGAGTTGGCCGACAAGGTTTCCCATGCGAAAGTCCACCAGACCTTTCTTGAAGAGCAACCATGACAAAGCGTGCACGCAGTGGATGACCTTCGGAATGTTCTTCTTTTCGTACAAATCAATGAGTTCGAACCTGAATAGCTCGGGTAACTCGACCTCGTCTAAAAATCGAAAGAACAAGGCTATATTGTCGGAGTGTCGGTACTGCAATTTCGGGTGCCTGAATATTCGGAATGTTCGGTTAGGATACATCGCCTGCACGACTTCTGCGAGAGTAACGCCATCTCTGAGGGCTTCCTCCAGTTGGACGATTGGTGGGATTTGCTTCTGAATGACCTCTTCGATCCATTCCTTGGCTTCTCCGATGTGGCAAAGATACTCGTACGCCTGCAAAAATTGACGTTGTTTATCCATCCAATTGCCAGCCGCCCAGGCGGACGCATTCTGCTTTCGAGCAGCCCTGGAGCCCTGCGCGCCCGCAACAGAACCCGCGCGCTTCAATCGTCGTCGTCCCTGTAAGCCCACTACAGACGGACTGTAGGTTTCGAGAGCAAACTCCTCAGTCTCACCCGATTTGGCGAACTTGGACAAGGTACGGAGGTGGCCCGTCGATGACTTCTTGAAAGTCTCTAACTCTGGTGTTGAGAGAGTCGTCGTAAGAGGTGGTGGAAGTGGGTTAGACAGGCTATGGGAGTGATGTGGTCGCATATGCGGTCGAGAATGAGGTGAAACGGCGTGAGGAGATCCTGGCTGTACGGAGTTCCTTCTCGGAGGGCTTTGAGAATTGAGTGACTGCCGTTCGCTCAGTCGGTCGCTCTCCAAACTGTGTGGGTGGCGTGAATCAGGAGTTTGAGGGCGGTTTTCCTTCCAATACTGTGGATTATCGACGGTTTGACTTCTCGTATGCCGATATACAGATGTTTTATTCGTCGGAGGGGCCGCATTAGGAGCCTGGGGAAGTGGTCGCAAGGAACGCCGGACATTCTCATATGTTGTCGCCGCGCTCGTCAAGCTTCCCCCTTCAGAGGTGTCTTTCACCATTGTCCCCAATGTAGTCGAGTTTAATTCACTTTTGCCTCGTCGGTGGCCGGTCCGGGAAGCAGACCCTATGGACGCATTTGACGAGACGGTACTGGTTCGACTGGGAGCTTGCGAATTTGACGAGAGAGAGTAGACAGATGAACTTGTGGATGCGGTCGAGCCATGTCGGAGCGGGCTCGAGGTATGTTGCGGAAGATCGGTCTGTGTGCGGCGTGGAAAAATTGGCTGACTCGCCATCACTGATGACGTTGCGTGTGCAAGAATGCAAATATCAAGAGAAATGGGGAATTTTGAACTTCAATTGGCCGCATGCCTGCTTCGTAAAGCAGAAGCAGTGCTGTAACTGTAAGTTGACCGAGTATCAAATGCGCAATAGTACCTGACTACTTTTGGTTGAGACGGGAATGTTTATTCAAGGGAGGGACCGCATTGCCCTATGGCAACCGAAAGTATTGGGCGGGTAGATCGGGGTTGATATAGAAACGTAGTGGACGTAATGTAACGCCGCTCTCTTTGCAGAAGAGGAGCGTAAAAGAATCGAAAGCGGGAGAGAAATTGTAAATATGGAAAGTGAAAAATAGGAATCAACAACGATAACAAATCGATTCGACCGCTCGGGAGATGTGAACGCAGGAGGGGGGAAGAAATAGAATACAGAGTAGAGAATAGATGAGTATGGTGGGATGAGAAGGCGCTACTTAGGTACCTTTTTTCACTTGGATAATGGCCTCCACAGAGATACCTGATCTTGATGTCCCAGCCTCCTCTGTATCTCTGTCAAGTCTCAAGGAAGCAAGCAAGCAATGGCAGGGAAAACAAATCTCCCGATTGGGTATGGTTGGCTCCATCAGGTGACTGTGCCACACCTTTTTCGTCCATTTATGGTAACTATCGTCATTCTTTCCAGCCACAGATCGTTTCACGTGTAGCCCACTTATGGCACATTCACGATCCATCGCTTCTGCTTATTAAGTGTCAACTATGATAAGTTAACTACTATCCACAAGTACTCCAGCTGCACGTGTGATCAGTCCAATACACCAATCTGATAGCATGATTACATCCAAGATTCAGTCATTATTCGAGGGAGTTTGCTCACTTTGGTACTATGGCACACTGGAAGATTATGGATTGTTCGGGATGACCGATGGAGGCAGGGATCCTCTGCGGGGCTTATCACGATCTCCCACTCTGGTTCACCCGTGCAACCGGGAACATATTATTATTATTATCATCAAGATGACATGCAGTCATAGATCCGATGGGGCCAGAGCGTCTCTAGTCTCTCGGTTCTCTCTAACTAGTCTTTAGAGTTTTGTCACTTCTGTGGAGGACAATTGCCTGTAGGCCAGAGGTACTAAGGAGCAGTAGTTAACTAACGGACAGATGGTTCAGTTACACAATGATGGTGGCTGGCTGAAAAGACTTTTAAGTTAGTCCAGCTCTTTCCAATAAAACAAAGGAAGACCATCATATGCATATATCGCAGCAAAGAAACCAAAGGATGCACCATCTTGAGTAGAAAATCGTTTTGTTACCATGTAGACGCTCTGACTGCTGCGTTGACACGCGTTTGACCAAGAGGTGCGAGTTTCGTATGGAGAAGTGCGACTGGGTTACCATCGGATAAAGCCTAGAGAATCTGCATTTTAGTTCGTCGGATGATATCTCATCTTCTGATTAGAATTTGTAATTCCATGTAGAATCTAAAGAGTCAATCATCGCCAACACCCCGGGATCGCGGGGCTGAGTCCATTACCCGTCCGTTCGTCGTTGACTGGAAGAACCCCACCTGTCCATCGGACCGAATTATATTGTACACACATCAATCTTTCGGATACTCAACACTTACCTGCCTATGAACGATAAGACTCAAAGAGGAATTCATCAGAGCAACTTAATAATGACAGAGTCGTTGCCATTCTACCTCTACAAACTGGTTCCCTCCACGTCCCCAGTCCGGGAGCCTCTTCCCGAGCGCTTACCCGTCAGCCAACTCGACCAGGAGTCGGGCTTCATCCATCTGTCAACCGCCTTGCAAGTTCCAAACACATTGAAATACTTCTTCAAGGACGAGCCGTTAGTCTATGTACTGCGTATAGAATTCGATCGAGTCATGGACGACATTAGATGGGAGTCGCCAGATGGAAAGGTTTGTGGGCCGCGACCCGATGAAGGTCTTTTCCCGGTAGGTTCTATCCTTTTCCTACAAGACGTAACCTCTGCCTTTTCCTCGATTCATTGTGACCTACTACTCAAAATCGGAGGCCGTGAGAATATCTACTGATTGTCCCAGCATCTATATAATGGGCTGAAGCTGGGAAAACACGAGGTTGAGAGTATTGCGGTTTGGACGAATGAGGCTGGGTGGGACAAGGCGATCTCACAGGCGAAACCATGGCTTTTGTATTAAAATCAGAACGACTTGGTCAATTACGATGCAGACTAGTTTTGACATGTCCAAACTCTACTCAGGAATCCCTCGGATTAATCACCCAAGGGATAACAATGCATGACCTGCCCGTCTGCACAATTCTCAGTTGACTCGTCCTAATCCAAAACCTGAGCCAGAAGCAAAAGGCACACTTACAGTAAAGCGCAGCGTCGGCACTGGCAAGGAACACGAAAGTAGTCGCTACTTCACTTGGCTCACCGGGTCGACCCAGGGGAGTCTTTGAGCCCCAGTTGGCCATCTGTTCAGCTTCCCTAGTGTCGGCCTGGATCGGGGTGTAGATAGAACCAGGGCTGTTGAATGAGGCGATTAGCTAAGTATTGTGTGGAAGAGTTCAACTGTTGGTCACTCACGCAACAGCATTCACTCGGATACCCTTGGGAAGCAGCTGAGACGCTAGAGATTTGGTGAACCCGACAATGGCACCTTTCGTGGCCGCATAGTCCACCATACTGCTTGAACCTCGGAAGGTCACGACAGATGTGGTGTTTATGATGCTATTGATATAAGAACGATGAGTTGATTGCGCACACTGCAGATCGAGGAATACTAACGAGTCGCCCTTTGACAGGAATGGCAGAGCATATTTCGTCAGAGCCATCATCTGGATGATATTGGTCCGGAAGATATCCTCCACCTTATTCAGGTCGATATCCGCGAAGTTCTTATTCATATACTGTTTTGAGGCATTGTTGATCAGGACGTTCAGTCTCTGGAACCTGCCCTCGTATCAGTCGGTGCAATATGTGCCGATTAACAGAGTCCTGTGGTTACTTGTTCATATGCTCCTCCACGGCCCTTCGACACGTATTGTGATCTCTGAGGTCTCCAGCGATAAGTAGACATGACCTCTTCTCGAGTTCAATGGCTCGCTTGGTCTCTTCAGCGTCATCCTTTTCTTCAGGAAGATGGACAATGGTGATATCGGCCCCTTCACGTGCCATAAGGATGGCAACAGCTCGGCCAATCCCGGAGCTATACACTCGTCAATATTGTTCGTTGAGTAGCGCACCTAAAGCTGATCGACATACTCTCCGCCGGTGATGAGGACCTTCTTGTCCTTCAATTTGCTAGAGCCTACATACTCAATAAAGTGTCCTCTTGACTCCAGTTTCGTCGCTTCGCTGGGAGGGACCATATGCTTTTCAAGTCTAATGATCATGTGCTTAATACCAGAGCAGTTAAGGGTCACACAAGGAGGTTACGAAATACTGACCCCGGTTTCTTCTGACTTTGTGGTGCCTGGGGCGCTTGAAAAGCACCTTCCTTGCCCATCTGTGATGCCATTTCGAAGTGATCTGCTAGCTTGATGTAGATGACTGAGAATTTTGCTCGAGCCTTCGCATCGGAAGGTTGAGTAGGCACCACCATTGCGAGTTCTTAAATATCACACTGCACCAGGTCTGCTGTCACTCTGGCGTCACCGTGTCGCAAGTTGGCTATGTAATATACAGTCGAGCGCAGTTCATTCTACATGGATTAGTACCTTACGAACTCTCCCATTTGTGAACAGGGTGTATGTTGTTATCATTCGATCTAGGTATGTTGCTATGCTATGTCTTATGCACGACCTCCCCTTCCTGGCTGATATGTTCCTGGCTGACATGTTCAGACAAATATGACCACCTGTAGGTCCGGTGATCCAGACTGATTGCCGAAGCCAAGCTGAGCTAAAGCATAGTATAGGTTTCGTGTCTCAGTGCATCACAAGAGGCACCTACTAGCAGCTACCCTGAGGCGAGCAGCTATTGTGTGTGCATTACATGACCAGATATCAGAGGCTACTCTAACTATTAGGGTAAGTCCTGTCATGTATAGTTGAATCCAGGGGCCCAGTATATACCATACGGAGTACAATCCTTCAAGTCTCTGCGCGTCGAATCACATCCAGTCGGGACTATGGCAAGATTATCAAATGCGATTATCAAGCAATATGTCGCCCCTCAGGCTCACCGCCTTAAGAGTTTTCGTTAAACAGCCAATTATAATAACAGCTCCGCAATTAGCACTTTGGCTATACCATTTCCGGTATAACACCTGCCAGGATTAGCTTGTGCGGCAGACTGTCAAAAGGCAATTTTTTTCCCCTCGAGATTTTCTCTTTTTTTCTTTCTTTCCTTTCTTTGGGAAAGGAAGACTTTCTCCATCAACAGAACGTTTCTATCGTCGATCTGTTGATTATTTTGATCTGATATCCGTCTCTGCGAGTTACGATAGAAACCGTAGAGTCTGTCTTTATATACACAATGCCCATCGCCAACGGTGACTCGCTCGGCCGCGCCATGAAGGCAGAGATCCAGGATTACACCAAGGCCCTGGAGGTCCTGGAAAAGGAATACACTACCAGAGACGGCCTTGATGTTGATACCCTTCTTGATTCGGACAAGCACGGAGCATTGACTTACAATGATTTCCTGATCCTGCCTGGTTATATCGGTAAGATTATGGAAACTTCGTCTTTTACGTGAAAGGACCGTTTGTTCATGATCATGACAGGCTTCCCTGCTTCCGATGTTACTCTTGATACTCCCGTCACCAAGCGTGTCTCGCTGAAGGTTCCTCTTCTCTCCTCTCCCATGGACACTGTTACCGAGCACAACATGGCTATCCACATGGCTCTTCTGGGTGGTCTGGGTGTCATTCACCACAACTGTTCCCCCGAAGATCAGGCCGAGATGGTCAGAAAGGTCAAGAGGTACGAGAACGGCTTTATTTTGGACCCTGTGGTTCTCTCCCCCAAGGCCACCGTTGGAGAGGCCAAGGAGCTCAAGGCAAAATGGGGCTTCGGAGGCTTCCCCGTCACTGGTAAGTGCATACTTCTTCTTCCTCTCAGCTGTCACCCCTACATGATGATTTTCCATCTTATCTCTTATAACTTTCGTTCCACTGGAGCAACGAGAGTTGCGATGTAGAGAAACGATTCTATCTGACAACGACGACGCATAATGACTTATCTTCATCACAACCACTGTCTGCAAGCCATTATCTAATTTGTGATTCTGTAACAGAAAACGGAACTCTCCGCTCCAAGCTCGTCGGTATGGTCACATCCAGAGATATCCAATTCCACACCAACCTCAATGACCCGGTCACCGCAATCATGTCTACCGACCTTGTCACCGCACCTGCCGGCACCACTCTGGCCGAGGCCAACAACGTTCTTCGTAGCTCCAAGAAGGGAAAGCTTCCCATCGTTGACGCAAACGGAAACCTTGTCTCTTTGCTGTCTCGCAGTGATCTGATGAAGAACCTCCACTACCCATTGGCGTCTAAGCTACCCGACTCGAAACAGCTGATCTGTGCTGCTGCTATTGGTACTCGTGAGGAGGATAAGCACAGACTCAAGCTTCTTGTCGAGGCTGGTCTTGATATTGTCATCCTGGACAGCAGCCAGGGTAACAGCATCTACCAAATCGAGATGATCAAGTGGGTGAAGAAGACATTCCCTGAAATTGACGTTATCGCCGGTAACGTCGTCACTCGGGAACAAGCCGCAGCTCTGATTGCAGCTGGTGCCGATGGCCTGAGAATTGGCATGGGCAGCGGCAGTGCCTGTATTACCCAGGAAGTCATGGCTGTCGGTCGTCCCCAGGCCGTTGCCGTTCGCAGCGTCTCTTCCTTTGCTGCCCGCTTCGGAGTTCCTTGCATCGCCGACGGTGGTATTCAGAACGTTGGCCACATCGTCAAGGGTCTCGCCATGGGTGCCTCGACCGTCATGATGGGAGGTCTCCTGGCCGGTACCACCGAGTCTCCCGGTGAATACTTCGTGAGCAACGAAGGCCAGCTTGTCAAGGCCTACCGTGGCATGGGAAGTATCGCTGCCATGGAGGACAAGAAGGCCGGTGCTGGTGGCAAGGATAGCAAGGCCAGCAACGCTGGTACTGCTCGTTACTTCTCCGAGAAGGACCGTGTGCTTGTCGCTCAGGGTGTCGCTGGTTCCGTTCTCGACCGTGGTTCGGTCACCAAGTTTGTCCCTTACCTTGTTGCGGGTGTCCAGCACTCTCTGCAAGACATTGGTGTCAAGAGCCTTGACGAGCTCCACGACGGTGTCAACAAGGGCACTGTTCGTTTCGAGATGAGAAGCGCTAGTGCCATGGCCGAAGGTAACGTACACGGTCTGCACAGCTACGACAAGAAGCTCTACTCGTAAAGGGCTTTGTTAGATGTGAAAAGCGTAATTTCTCATTACGTCTCTTCTCTCTCAGGACGTGTCAGTCAGGCTATGTTCACATGATGATATACGCTTGGTATGAAAGTAAAAATTGGGCATGATGGTTTTGGAGTTTGACATGGAATGCACTTCGGATGATTATTTTCTTCAACCACAATGTTGCTGTTCGTGTAATTATGCTTGCCATCAGGCAGTTCATTTATGAATCAAAAAGGAAAAAATCCTAAAATATATGCAAACTATTTGTCTTTGTAGGCTTTAGACTATCATGACTAATGACTTAGACAGGCGTCCTGCATGAGAATTGCGCGGGGTAAAGCAGAAGAAGCCTAGGTTCCATCCTTCATTGCCAAGGTTAAGGTACCGATCCCCTGGAAACAACCCAGGCACCATAACCTTACCAAGTGGTACCGATCGTTCCTTAATACTTCTCAAAGGAAGCAGGGGCATAACGCGCCTTCAGTGGCGCTCGTCTCTCATGGTCACCAAGGCATTCCTTTCTGGGCCCTTCAGCTCAACCTCCCGGTTCATCTACAGATCTGGCCAATCGTTCGACCGTCGGCTAAGCTTGGTCCGAGGTCCACGCTCTAGGTGTATACAAGTACTACTGGTGCCTTGCATCTGTCGACGCGCAAGGTCGGACTTTAGAAACGTCTCTTCTGCGGTGAAATCATCGCAGTCCACTGGATCGCACAAAATGGCAGCTAAAAAGGGTGATCGACCCAAGGCGACACCGCCGATACCGAGGCCGAGCTCAAGGTTAGTACATAATAAGCCCCTTGCTTCTCTTGATACCATCGGTGATGTGCATTTGAAGCCACCGATTACGTTTTATAAGCAGTGTTGGATCGATGAAATTATCATAACTTGCAATTCTACAGCTAACATGCGACAGCGTCGTACTCATCTCGCCCAAAAATGAAGTCCTGTTACTGCATCGCGTCAAGACATCAACTTCATTTGCCTCGGCGCATGTATTTCCTGGAGGAAATCTGTCTGCCCAGGACGGAGAATGTCCCGCGGTGGAGGATCCAAAGAGGCACGAGGATGCGCCATGGTACCGCAATGCTGCCGTGAGGGAACTGTTTGAGGAGAGCGGTATCCTGCTGGCGAGAGACAAGAACACAGGCGTAAGGCTAGCTGTACCCGAGGCAGAGAGAGAAAGAGGAAGACGAGCCATCCATCAGCATGAGATGACGTTTGCCGAGTGGTTGAAGAAGCAGAATGCTGCAGCAGTACCAGATATAGGTGCGCTGTTCTCAAGGAGTTCCATAAATACAGACATGTTCAGCTGATGCAGCTGCAGAGCCTTTGATCCCGTTCACGCGATGGATTACCCCTACTAATGTCCCCAAACGATACTCCACACAGATGTACCTCTACTTCCTGCCTCTTCCAGTCGAGTCAGACCTGTCAGTACTGAACGAGATTCCCGCCGAAGGGGAGAGGGAAGAAATTCAAGTTCCTACGAGCGATGGCGGGATCGAAATAACAGAGGCCATGTTTCTGCCTGCAGCAGAATGGCTGCGAAAGGCTCAAAGCGGCGAGGTCATCATGTTCCCTCCGCAGTTCCTTCTGTTACATCTAGTGTCGCAATTCCTCGACAAGGAACCGCGAGCGACGGCTTCGCTCGAGGAACTGAGAAACAGACGAGCAGAATTGGTGGAGTTTGCCCATTCGGGAACACCGCCCTGGACGGAGAAATGTATCTCTCCTAAGATGCTCAAAATGTCCTCGGATGGACGGACTGTGTTAGCATTAGATCATCCCGGACCGGAGTTGGAGGGCACGAATCGGGCTGGGGAGCCGGACCGGGTGGTATATGTACAGTTCAAGCAGGGGGCTGCTCGAAAACTCGATGTTCGATGGAAGAAGGACGTATTTGCAGAGCAGGAGAAGAGCAGTCTGTAATGACGCTGGACATAGCATCATAGAGAGGAAGAGCAACATGTGAAGCTCACTTGAGAAGAGCCCGAGTCATTTAACGCTATCCCGCTTTGGGCCTTAGCACCTTGGTACTCCGTAAAATAGGTATTGTTCCTGGTAAAATACCGTTTGGCACAGACGCCACACGCCACAGCATTGGCACCGCCACACGAGAAAATCGCAGCCCTCGATAAAGGATCACATGACCCACACAACCCGCTCGATTCTCAGTAGATTTTCACGAGAGTCCGCCAATTGAACCCGCCAGCGCACCTCCGTCTTCTTCACCGTCGTCGACCTCAAGAACTTCACCAAACGCCAAAATGGAGAACGAAAAGGGAGAGATCGTCGATCTGTACGTGAATACTAATGTCCTTCGCTGTTTGCGCTTGAACTGGTTTTATGGTTGTCTGGGAGCCGAGAAATGACTTTGCGACTTGGAACAATGCACAAGAGGAGTAGAGCAATCTGGAGGAAGTCTCAGCCTTCATCAAGCGATTGTTGCAGGATAATCCTTTTTCGCAGAGTTTCTTCCCGGTTTCCGGAAACCAGCAGGAGCAGGAGATAACCGTGAACCAAAAGCATTGAATATTGCAAAACGCACAGGACTAACCCTTCTCTTTCTTTTCCAACAGCTACGTCCCCCGCAAGTGCAGCGCCACCAACCGCATCATCAAGGCCAACGACCACGCCTCCGTCCAGATCTCCATCGGCAAGGTCGACGAGAACGGTCGCTACACCGGCGAGAACCAGAGCTATGCTCTCTGCGGCTTCATCCGTGCCCGTGGCGAGAGCGATGACTCCCTGAACCGCCTCTGCCAGCGTGATGGCTACGTCCGCAACGTCTGGTCTGCCAGCCGCCAGCGGTAAACGCGAGGTATCTTTTTCTGGTGTTTGGGTGCCTGACCTGACGGCTTGGTTGGATGTAAGTGCTACAACTGTTGTATCATATTTAAAGAATTGCGTGCTGATTTGGATGTCGGTGCGGATAGGAAAAGACGTGCCGTTAGATGAGTTACGTCTGGGAGTTGATGTCCAAAAATCATTTTCTTTTTCCATGAGTCAATGAAGACTAAAGAAATTCCATCCAATTCAATCCAGTCAGCCCATCCATGCATAGGATTCTCATAGCTTCCCTTCCCCAGTCTTGCCGTCATTGGCTCAATTGGCTTGCTGTATCATGATACGACGACGATGTTCAGGATCAGCGGTTTCCTTACTGTAGTTTTCTTTGTCCTTCTCGGTTTTCCATCCCATCCGGCACATCAAGGCTTCCTCGTCCACGGAATCGGATTGCCTATCGGACAGGTATGCATCTGATTTCATCCCATGAGCGAGGAGGTAGAAAGTAATCATCCAGCCGAACATCAGGATCCGCCTACTGAAGAGCCACTGTTGCAAAGAACATGCGCTGGGGCACAGATACGGGTGGGACATACCATCTTTCGTGCTTCTTACATATGTAGTCCTACATTCTAGATTTGATAAGCGAAATGGTTTGAATTAACGTTTTGTAGAATTCTATTCCTTTATGATCATGCATCATTTCGTAGCCCGTTGAAGAAAAAAATTGTAACGTTTTCTGTCTGTTTTCGATAACTCTAAAACGAATCCAGGATATCGAGCTGAATGCTATTTTCTTTCCCCGTAATATTTCCAACACATCGAGGCACCCTCTGTCCACTTAGTCCTTCTCCAGTCGCACGGCAGGATTGGTCTCGATGAAGTTGAGGTCGACTTTGTGACCAAGAAGTTCTCGAATATTGCTCACTCCGTATCTGCGACAACATGTCAGTTCATGGAATCGAAGAGGAAAGTACGGCAGCACTCACTTAATCATGGTTGGTCTCTCAAGACTTAAACCCCATCCGTAGACTCTCATGTCCTTGGGAATGCCCATGGACTCCAGCATCTCTGGTCTGAACATACCACTGTTTCCAATCTCAACCCACTTGCCCAGTCCTTCGTGGTAACCGAAGATCTCCATACTGGGCTCGGTGTAAGGGTTGTAGGCGGGCTTGAAGCGCAGTTGGTGGATACCCATCTTTGCGAAGAAGACCTCCATGAATCCAATCAGACCACCCAGGGTGAGACCGAAGTCAGCAATGACACCCTCAATCTGGTGGAACTCGGCCAAGTGAGTAGCATCGACGGCCTCGTTGCGGAAGACTCGGTCGATACTGAAGTACCTTGCCGGCCGCGGGTTCGCGGCGAGTTTGTGCAGGACGTAGGTCGACACCGACGTGGTGTGGGTACGGAGAACCAACCGAAGGGCTTCGTCTGCGTTCCAGGGGTAACGGTAGCCAATCGAGCCGTACTTTCCGTTCTCGTGGACCTGGCGCACGTTCTCCCAGTACTCCTTGTAGTCAAGGGGCTTCGCGGAGGTCGCTGCCGAGGCGGGCTGACTGGATTTCAGACGGTGGGGATCGTTCAAGGGATCCTCACGCGGAGGGTCGGCGGTGGCAGGGTCTGCAATGTAGAATGTATCTTGTAGATCACGGGCGGGGTGTTGCTGAGGGACGTAGAGGGCGTCGAAGTTCCAGAATCCCGTCTCTACGAAGCGGTTGGTGGGCATCTCCTCGAAACCCATCTCAAAGAAAATATTCCGGAACTCCTGTCGCACCTTGTTGAGGGGATGGAGGGCACCGGCCGGGGTAGGAGCACCCTTGGCCTTGAAGTTGTACGGCTTCAGCGTAGCCGTCTTCCATGATCCGTTTGCGAGCATCTCGGCCGTCAGATCGGTCTCCTCCTTGACAAATTCTTTGGCGAACTTGGGGCCCTTCGAAACCCGGAAGGTAAAGGCCTTCTGCAGAGCGATCAATTTCCGACGCTTGAGGTCCGCAATGGCCTTCTGGTCGTTCAAGGTCTGCGTGTTCTTGACGGTCAACAGCTGCTCTTGGGTCTCGTCGACGATGGACTCGGTGTTCGCCCGCAACACATCCTTGTCCTTCTTGATCCAGCCTTTCTTGAATGCATTACCCTGGCCGACCTTGGCGTTCTCTTTTCCGACAATGCCAGGCAAGTCACCAATCTTCAATCCGTCCATGGCCGCC